AATTATGACGCGTGGCAGTGAAAGTCCCAAGGAAGCTGTCTCGCCGATGCCGGCTTATCTTTGCACGATGGCCAGCTGTTTGCGACGGTATGTTGTCTACAAAAGGTGTAGGCGCCTTGACCCTGAATGTTTGCTTAGGGCATTAAGGCTTTCAGGTAAGCCCTCTTCTCTCCCTCTTATTATTCTTTCTTTCATAGGTTATCATGGTTTTACGGCAGCGAAGCATCAGTTCAAATGGCTGATGTACTGCTGTCGTTGTTGTTGTTGTTGTCACTAATATCACCTCGGTTATCGACCTATCACTAGAGAGGTAACACAGACAAAAGATAACTGCCGGCAACTTAAACCTACCAAAGATCCGTTTGTCATTTCAGCCATTCTCGGATCAACATAGGGTTACTAAAATTACGAGGTAGCCAATATAATAGGTCTGATATTTACATTTAGGATCACTGGTGTACAAGCCGAGAACTAAGACCAACTCCCTAGCAGTGACCACACATGTTGCAACTAAACTACTAGGTTAAAATGGTGACCAAACACCCCTCTCTTCCTAACGATGAAGTCCACGGAATAAACTCTGAACAATTTCGACAAGCAAACCGACCTTCTGACTGGGATGCATTTTTCATCTTCAAAAACGCGCGCACTGCCGTCGAGCATTTATAACATCAGGTTCATCAGGTGATATACCTCAGTGCTTCGCAAGACAAACGAATCTCCCGTGTCCAAAAAGACGCAGGCGGACACTTAACCAGCCAGAAATCTGGTAAATTGGTCTCGAGATACAAAAAGACGAGGGATTCATCCATAACCTTACAGTTGACTAAGTGTGTCGCTGGTGATAAACAAGTACAATCATTAAAGAGAATAAATGATGAACCCAACGGACATGTGAAGCGAAAGAGCACGTCATAATTACGCGCCGCCGAACCGACAAATATTCCCTAGACCGATGAGCTAGCCAATGATAATGATCATTCATTTAATGAGCCAGTTACCATCTGCGAAGTATTCGATTCGTTTCTCGCCACCTCCATAAATGTATAATCGGGAAAAACAACTAACGTCTTATGAGGAGTAAATTGTCTCGATGAGATCCCTGTCGTAACAAGACTGGGCCTTAACGTGGTGCAACGGTTTGCGTACCTCTTCGACCCATTGAGCTATACTGAGAGGGGCCCCCGGGCCCCTTGAGCTACTCCTATCAGGTTGGTCAATGGTTAGAGGTCAGACAAACTCAGTTTCTGGTCCAGGTTGGGATTTTGAAATGGGATAGCGTCCACTTCTTTAAAGCTAAATCATTGCCACCTCCCCGGCGACTTGTGGATAGACTTTTGAGCCAAAGGCTTTGGTTGTGGACCCTAATCGTCCGCCTGTCTAGGTTTGGGTGCCATGGCATTATCTCAACGCAAGTACAACTATGAGTATTTCATGTAACTTCAACCACATCCTGTATCGGCCGTCGCGCAAACGATCAAGGGTCACCTTATCTGCTGCATACATCAGGACGGATAAGCAAAAGCATGCTATTGCTCGCGCCTCCGTACTTTCTTTCCTACCTGTTTCGCTTACTCATGTTCCAAGTCCGATTCCTAACTTTTCTACTATAATTCCCAATTTAATTGGCAGTAGCCGTAGTCACTGGAGTCGAACCACCTGAAACTACCTTCCAGCTCCAACTACTGGACGCACATCAACAACAAGCCCTAATAAGGCCAAGGTATCCCATTCTCCAGCCGGCGTTCAACGATCGCGCTCTAAGACATAGAGGTCAACAGGCTGCATTTGCACATAGGTTAGACACACCGGGTATTAATGTGTGATATGCATCCAAAACAAGGATCAATGACTCTAATGAGGTTTTTGAATTACGTGCGCCCGGCTTGTCATCCGGCTAATAGTTGCACGCATCCGAAGACGCTGATGCCGCAACCACAGGTCAAGCTGGAGTGAGCATTGTTCTCAGCTCCAAGGCCGAGTCACCGTTGGTTGGCTGGATCCCCGTGAGCAGCTGTTTGACGACCTCAACTGAGGTTTATTCACGGAGTAGCACTAGACGCTGTTTGTTTGTGGTTTTCGCTTATGCCTTCACTGATTGCAGCTGATGCTATGAAGGACACCTTCTCCCACGAACTGAACACACTACTACACAGCGCTACCAGTTCAGATTAATAGTTATTGAAGAAGGTGTGAATACGCAAGTAAGTCTAAGCTCTTCAGAAGCTCAGCTAGCTGATAAGCATGGAGCTAACTCCGAACGTACGGACAACGGCGAGCGTCCTTTGCAAATGGGGGTGGAGCACCAGCTGACTTTTACAGCACCGCTTTTAGATACAGTGGACCCGTGGCGGAGCCGTACGCTATTGGGTGTGCCCTCAGGTTGAGGATCGGGAAATGCCTTCCTTGTGGAAGTAACTGCGAATAAGTCACGTTTGCTTTGCAGGCGAGTTGAATAAGCAGTCGTGGACAATCAGCGGCAGCGTCTCAGAGCGTGGGGAGTTCTGGGTTGGTCACCTGGTTCTCCATTAAATACCACAAGTGCTTGTACGGCGTTGTGTCAAAACCAATGTGACCGGCAATAGGGTCACTGAACACTCACTCCTGTAACTTGGGGTGAGTATCTAACAGAAGGCGGATGAACAACCTCGCTGGCCACCGGCTTCTCCATGGGCTGCTTCCGAACGCAAAGAAAGCGAATGAGCCATTTCGCTCTCAATGGTCCTCGTGAATCACCCCGCTGCATTGCGAGTCAGGTCTTTAGACCAAAGACTCGGGGTGAGGTCTCGTAAGTCAACCCCTTTGCTCAGCCTGGGCAACAGGGAAGCTCAATGCCCACACAACACATGGTAGTTTGCTTCCGTTCCTCTGACTCACTCTCTTCATTATGTTATTGTTAATCATGTGTTGTGGCACTCTGCCATATATATATATATATATATATCCAAGAAGGGTAAACGGTTTCCGTTTTCGTGCTCACAGGTGAAGCTTAGATTCTCATGTGCGTCATTAAAGGCCTTCAGCAACCGTTCTGCATGCTTTTCGGATTCGCAAAGCACGAAGGTGTCGTCGACATACCGTACATACATTTCAATTCCACAGATGTGTGTCCTGAGTGGGCCATGTTCTAATTTCGCCATAAAGATGTCAGCTAACAACGGCCCTAAAGGAGATCCCACGGCCACTCCATCAATCTGACGGTACATCTCACCATTGAACGTGAATTGAACATTTAACGTGCAGCGAAATAGTATCTCCTTTAGCAAATCCTCCGGAAAAGTAGCGTATATTGGTAGTTGCCGGGTCAACTCGCACACGTAATCCACCGTTTCGAGCAGTGGAATGTTTGTAAACAGCGACTGGGCATCAAAAGATATCATCCTTTTGTTAGTAAAGTTGAGTCCAGATATCTTCGCAATGAATTTGAAGGAGTCTCTCACGCAGTAAGTGCAAACCATACCCCGTAACAGTTGCAATATGTTCACCATGCATTGGGCCAACGAATGCTGTGGAGATCCCACAATGTCCAAGATTGGACGCATTGGGGCGCCTTCCTTGTGAACTTTAGGAAGGCCAAATAATCTCGGTAGGTTTCCAATTGAAGGCTTCAACTTTTCGAATTCGCTCTTTGTGATAAGTTTGGCTTGCATCATTCGCCGGAGGCAGCAGGTAAACTGTTTCTCTAACTCCCCTGTGTTGTCCTTTCCGGCCATAAGCTTCTGGAACTTACGTTCGTCACTGAGGATGTGCTGCAGTTTACAGACATAATCCACCCTATCTAGCAACACTATGCCGGATCCCTTGTCTGGCCTAGAGATAACTAATTCGTTATTTAACCGGAACTCTTTAATTACCTGAATTTTCTCCCTGGAAATAATACCACTACGAGATGATTTAGCCTTAACATATTCATGACAACTATTCACTAGACTAGATTTTAGGTTCTCAACGTCACTAGATGTTGGAAACAGGTCTCTAGTTTGTACCATTAGGCTTTCAAACTGCACTTCTAAGGCTGCCTGATCTATTTTCTTACATGGAATACAAAACTTGGGGCCTAATGATAACACTTCCAGCTGTGTCGGGCTTAGTACTACACTGGAAAGGTCGAACACATACCGTTCCGGGTTATTCGGAAAGGTCAATTGTGGGGCCTGGTTGTTAAGCGTACTAAGTAATTTCCTTCGCCTTCTTACTCCCATTTTCAGCTTAACAAATTCCACATATTCCTCAAAAGGCTGTCTCAGATCATCAGACAAACCTAACACCGCTGGAAATCTTTGCGAAATGAATCTATCCAGCTCCGACAGTTTAACACGAATGGTGTCCACATAATTGGGTGCATGTCTTTTCAAAGTTTTTGCGTTTGGGTGGAGGTCACAGCGCCGTATCTCTCTCCAAAATTGTTTTAGATAGTGGCTTGCCTATACACATGCATTAGGAAATTCCAATTCAACCTTGGATTCCTCCAGCCGAGTACTGAACTTCAGATACTCATTCAAAATCTTCATCGAATTAAGGGCCATGCTGATCTTCAGCAAAGCAAATATTCCCACTGGATTCAGATGAATCAAGATCAGAAATCAGTTCAGGGTTAAGAATTCTTTTCGGTAAACTCTCTTCAGACCCAAACGTTTACATAACACTGATTGTGTGGGGTAAGCGTCAAATCGGGCTGGGATTGATTTCTAAGGTGTTTGAACGGTCCAGATCGATGACTAAATGCGACCACAGATGGCAACAAAGATGCTGTTGAGAAAATTTATTTCGCAGCCCGCTTGAGAATTGCTTACCACAACAAGCCATTGCTTGCAAAACCCTTGAGAGATAGTCTGCCGTCATTGGCTCGTTCAGTGCTCACCTATCAGTACTCGTGCTCCTGTGGTGCACGATACGTGGGTCGCACAACGAGACGTCTATCCCAGAGGATTCGCGAGCACATCCCGGCGTGGTTTTACAAAGGCGAAATGACGTCCTCCGACAGCTCAATTATGTCGCACCTCCTGGAAAGTGACCATACTACATCTGAGAATGACTTTAAAGTCATCTACTCACTACCTGAACGCCTCTCGCAAGGATTCCGAAAACAAATCTTGTCTATTGCCGAGGCTATTTACATCCACCATCCGAAGCCGGAATTATGTGTACATAAATGATTCATACGGCCGATACTACTACAGTGGCCGACTGACATGGTTACTTAGTTCCCTTTAGGCTGCTCAGGCTTGTGAATTAAGTTTCCTTTGTTGCACTTTTCTTGCCATCTGTAGCCGCATTTAGTCATCGATCTGGACCGTTCAAACACCTTAGAAATCAATCCCAGCCCGATTTGACGCTTACCCCATACAATCAGTGTTATGTAAACGTTTGGGTCTGAAGAGAGTTTACCGAAAAGAATTCTTAACCCTGAACTGATTTCTGGTCTTGATTCATCTAAACAAATCGACGCCAACTTCGAATTGAGGGAATTCAAGCCTCTTGACCAAGTCATCGCTTGGCCTCCCCTCCTCTTCCTCAGTCCAGACTCGCAACACGGAAACAAAGGATGTCGAGGGAGTCGGTGTACTGGCATGCACAAGACGTGGCCCGGCCATCGGATCCTAATGCGTGATACAACAATACTGGGCGATTCACTCGCTATTCCTGCAGGAAATACGCGAAGCTGAGCACGCTGTTTACTCACGCGGTGCTCCCACCAGACATGCACCAAACTGTGAAGACATCGATGCTTGAACGTAACAAACATCCTTAGGTCTGTCGATCAGATAGGCCAGGTTTGCAACCGTACAGAAGAGTCGAGCGTACGTCGGCAATGTGCACTCTACACTTCACGGGAATAGTGATGTGTGCCTGCGACATAGGTGGCGAAGGTCAGCAAAAGCGCTTCGAGCTTTTGTTACACGGTTTGTGATCTCGTCTTCTATTCCACAAGCGATAATATCGCAGTCTAGATAGTAGAATTTCTGGACGACTTCTAGGTGGTCACCACCAAAGGTCAGCGCAGGAGTGGGTTCCTGCAAATCTCGGAGGAGGACTTTGCATGTTGAGGATGCAAAACAGCCCGAAACAACTGAAAACCAGTGCTAATCTATGCAGTGTTATTTGGCACGCTTGGGAATTATCACAGATAAGAGCAATATCATCAGCGTACTCCAAGTCAAGATGTAGCTCACTTGAAAGCAGCTTCAAACCCTTTAAGTCGTGCCCAGCGAATGTCATATTCAGGACCTGGTCAATGGCGAAGTCAAAAAGGAATGGTGGCAGCGGGTATCCTTGCCAATCCCCGCTGAAGATATTAATGGGTGATGAAAGTTTGCCATAAGCCCTCAATCCGTTTGCACCATCCGCCTACATCGTACTGATAATCCTTTTGTCGCTCTCGAGTACATGTTTCCTGTGCACAGTCTAAAAGAGCACATCGATCCATTGAGTTAAAGGCAGCTTTGATATCGAGGAAGACCACCAGGTGGGTCGCCGAAAGATGTGGCATTGTTCCAACAATTGGGGTAAGGTGAAGATGTGGTCAATAGAGCCTAGATTTCAGCGAAATTCGACTTGCTCCTGGCGAATCTAACTTTCACGAGGGCCACTCAGTCAATGGAAAACGACGGAGGCAAGCAATTTAGAGGCAATTAAGATCGGACTGTATCCTCTGGGATTGTCGCAATCCGAAAGTGAGCTTCCATTGAAAATTGTGACTATAACGGTGGAGAGGCTCCAGTCTGCTGGGACAGTCTCTTACACCCGCAGGTTCGCAAGTAATCTGTGCAATTCATCTACAAGAGCAGGTCCCCTGAATTTGAAGAGAACTGGAGGAAGTCTACCTGCTCCTGTGGCCTTGTTCAATTTCAACAGTTTGGTCACACGTTAGACTTCCTCGCGTGATGGCAGATACCAGGAGACGACTCAGGGAGTATGACGACCAATGGCCGATAAGGAAGATGGTAATTCTGACTGATTAAACTGCTATCCAAAGTTTCGGAAAACTGGTAGCTCAGGTTGATAATTCAGTTGCTCATTCGTTCGACGAGCTTGGAAAGTTGGTTGAAAACATTTCACCACCTCGCATGGTGGTGAAACGTTTGCAAACAACTCTCTAAGCTCGGCGAACGAATGAGCAACTGCTATTCAAAATGTTCAGCTCAACGCTAGAACCGTTTTGATAAGATGTGGATCGGCTGTCGACTATCGTCGCATATAATGGCGCTAACACCAGGTTAGCTGTTGCACGTTTCACGTATCAGACGGAATAACTTACGATGGTTACCAAGGGCAGAGGCAAAATGAGTCCACCAAAGCTACCAGTCACTCTCCAGGCTAGCACGCAGTTTCACCCTGAGATCTTTGCGAGTCTCACTGTGTTTGTTTACAGACCCAATGGCCAAGTTATTGATTTGATGTACCACATTGGAACATGCCTGCTGCTAATAACCATTTTTTCAAAATTAGCTTTATGTACCCGACTAAGCACATTTTCAGCACTATGGCGGATATGCGACCAGTGATCTGCAACTGTATTCAGTGAGCACTTACTCAATCCGAACGCCAAGGTACTTTGATACGCAGTCAGAACATGTGGCTTCGCCAGTTGGCCGGTGTAGCTGCGCTCACAGCGTCATTGTGTACATCCGCTAAAACGAATCCGCAGGTCAGCACATATGAGTGTGTGGTCGGAGTCCACGCTCGTGCTCCAAATTGAACAGCAGTTTTGAACACAGTCTCTCCAATGGTTACTGATCACGATGCGATCGGTGTACGTCCATGGCTGGTCCAAGGCTAAGGGGCGCCATGTCAGCCTTCTGCGGGTGCTGTATCGGAAGTTAGTGCTCGCCAGAAATAAAGGAGCATCATCACATAGGTGTAACAACCGCTCACGGTTATCATTCCAGGAGCCCGTACAGTGTTGACCCCCCAGATGCAGCTCATCACCAGCAAGCAACACAGCATCCGCATTACTAATGAGTAGCGGGGAGTTGGTATGATCAGAGACAGTTCATCACGGTCCATTCTCACAGGCTTTGGCTAGTCTGGAAAAGCATCGGGCATCGGTGTTTCGACTCTTGGTCCCGTCAGTGGTGCGTCCTAAACAGGACCCCCTGCCGGGATCCGCTCACATGACTTCCGGATGCCAGCAGCTAGTGCCATTTCTCCATGGATGACAGCCGCGGACCTGCATGATTGACAATTGGCTGTGATATAGCCAGGCGTTTTGGTACGTCGCAAGGATTTAGAAGTTATACGGGCAGAATTTATATTACTAATGAGTAGTGGGGATTTGGGATGCTTTGCGGAAATTCCTAGCTAGTGGGGCTAACTGCTGTCCTCTGCGCAGTTCGTAACTGGCATGGCAGTGGAAGATGATCAGGGCTATATCACAGTTAACTATCAATCATGCAGGTCCGCGGCTGGAACCATGGCGAAGTGGCACTAGCTTCTGACATCCGGAAGTCATGGGGGCAGAACCCTGCAAGGGTCTGCTGGAAGGCGCACCACTGACGAGGGACAGGTCGAAATACCGGTGTCTGGTGCTTTTCTAGACTAGCCGAAGCCTGCTGACCGAGAGGGACCGTGATGAATTATCTCTGATCCTACCAAAGCCCCACTACTCATTAGTAACATAAAATCCGTCCGTATAGCTTCTAAGTCCTTGCGTCGTATCAAGGCGCTATGCGGAAAGTCCTAGCTCGTGGGGCTAGCTACTGGCCTCTGAACAGTTCGTAAATGGTATGGAAGTGAAAGATGAGCCGGGCTAAATCCCAGTCAACAGCATCCGTGTTCTTGCTGAGAGGAGTGAGTTCGTTCAATAGATGACAGAATTCATCTTCCATCGAGTCAGTAGTACATTTCCTGAGGGCAATGACAAAGAGACACCGTTCGCCCCCGTGCGAATTCAAAGCGTGAAACGATCCAGCTAGTCTGATAAAGCACATTGGGCTATTCACTGGAATCCAATCGATCATGGCAATTCCACACCGGGGGCTCAGAAATGGTTTACATTGGATTGACCGGAATTTGAAGCTGCGTGATGTTCGGACAAGCGCAATGAGAAAGTACCGCCAGTGTAGCATGTTGGGTATCGCAGAGTAAGTACAAAGCTCTAAATTTTGCAGGCGCGTTGTGGTATGCCATTCTTAAGGATGATCAAGGGCTCCGAATAGGAATGGATGAACTGAGGTATCTGCAAAGTCGAGCCGGAGAAACCTCAGCACAAAATGGGACTCATTCAGGATTATACGCACACCACTGATGCATGGAGTGGCACGAGGATGGTGAAGTTCAAAGGAAAAAAGCAAGCATTAGTTTTCGTGTTTGTTCGATATATGAAGGATCTGTGACATGCAACCTTGAAAGCTTTGGTGCACGGCTGTTTATCTGATCTCTGTATTAGGTATTCCTGTGCCTTCAAATTAGCCGAGCAGATGGAGCGCATAGTAAAAATATGTGGTTAATATACCTAGCAAGATCAATACAATCCCAACCAGAGTCGAACGTTTTAAAACTCAACCTGTCCCGTTCTCCAAGGTTGCAGCACAACAAATTTTACCAAAACTATCAGGAGCCGTATCAGAAACACCAGTGCTATGCGTTTTGGCTATGAAGATAAAAACATAAATCGATGGTGCTGTAACATCGAATTCCCCGACAGACCTAATTCAAGTTACCTAGGCTAGAATTTCAGCAGTTTGACCATGGAACTTTGTAATAAAGATTGAACGCTAGTCATATTAGTGCAAAAGAAAAAGATGCGATCTGATTCCTTTCTAATCAGGTATGTGGTCCCGTGTAACAGTCTATCATAATCTAATCGTATGGAAATGCGAGAAGCTCAAAGATTGCCTCAGGCAGAGCATGATTATGATCTTGTTCTCATAGGATAAAACGCCCAGTGAGACGTTTCAAGGGGGACTATACACTATTCACACGGTGGAAATAAAAGAAAGTTACAAAACGTAAGCGAGACTAAATGAATGCAGTTTCCTTGGAGTGCAGTAGTATTCCCTCACAAAGAAAAAGAAGGAATGAGCAGTATGCCGGTACGCAGTACCGACGTTTCAGTGCCGCACAAACACCCTCCGTCGCACGTAGGCCAAGCGCGCCGAGAGGGTTGGCTTTACTAAACCTAGGTGATAACACTAATTAAAGAACGAATAAGAAATGGAAACAAATGACGTTATGATAATGCCTCTCAACGGTAATACATCACTTGCTTGATGAGACACAGTCCCGGACTAATAAGCAACGTTTCCAATAATACATTCTGCAGTAAAACAACCTTGTAAATTAATGCTCTGACAGTATAACGAAAAGATACAGTCAAGTACACAGGTATGTAATACTCATGAAAGAGTTTGATACCACGTTTACAAGGTTTACAAGGTTTAGGCGCCTTGACCCTGAATGTTTGCTTACAGCATTAAGGTTTTCAGGTAAGACCCCTTCTCTTCCTCTCCTTATTCTATATTTCATAGGTCCTCATGGTTGTATGGCAGCGAAGCATCAGTTCAAATGGCTGATGTATTGTTGTTGATGGTGATGAATCGATCCAATACAGTCTGGCATGTTTGGGAGCTGTCACATATGAGAACAATGTCGCTCACCAGGAAGTAGCTCCACACCTTCTAGGTTGTGTCTGGCAAACGCTGTTTCCATGACTTCGTCAAATGCAAAGTTAAATAGGATAGGTGATTGTGAGAAACCTTGTCTCACACCGCTGGTGATACTGAAGGGTGACGACAGTATGCCATAAACACTCACTCTGCCCAAACTTTGCGCGTACAGCGCTTTGATAATGTTTACATATTTATCAGGCACAGCTTTTCTCAGTAGACAGTAAAAAAGCACATCGATCAATTGAATCGAGGGCACCTTTTATATGGAGAAACACGACAAGTGGGTCGCCAATAAACATAGCGGTGCTCCAACAATTGACGCAAGGTGAAGAAGTGGTCGATGCAGCCCCGACTTCGACGAAACTCGGCTTGCTCTTCACGAATTTGGGTTTCACGAGTGCCAGTCAGACGGTGGAGAACGAAAGAGGCAAGCAATTTAGTGGCAACTGAGATCAGACTGATCCATCTATGATTGCCTTATTCCGAACAGGAGCCTCCCTTGAAAATTGGGACAATTACGGAGCGGCTCCAGTCTGTCGGGACAGTCTCCTGCTCCCAAAGTTTCACTAGCGATTTGTGTACTAGAGCAGGTCCCCCGAATTTGAAGAGGACTTGGGGAATTCTATCTGCCGCTGCGACCTTTTGCAATTTCAATTGTACGAGTCTTTTTGTATTCGGTTCCAGCCGGAATACTTCAGCGAGCATCCATAAGTGCGAGAGACTGTGTAGAGACACAGTATCCAGTTTGGCAATTTGATTTGCGACATGAAGACAGGTCTGCTAACAGTAACGTTTGGCGCATACGCATGCAGTGATCTTCGACGATGTTCAGTGGGCGCTTACTCAGCTCGCGAGAAAGAGACGAGCATCTTCACACAGCTGTAGCAATCGCTCACCGTTATCATTACGGGAGCCTACACCATGATGGCCGACCAGATGATGCGCACCAGAGGACAATTTTCCGACTTACGCGTTTAGATTGCGAGCCAACACCATAATATCTGTGCTTTTTCTGTAACGAAGATCGTTAAGTTGCTGATAGAAATCATCTTTCACCGAATCACTGCTACCGGTTGTAGGAGCGTATGGCCGCAATGGTAAACAGTCACAGTTTGTTCCCGAGCGACTTCGTAGCGTGCAACGGACCAGCTAAGGTAACAGCGCACATTCGACTGTAGACTGGGATCCAAACGATCAGGGCAGCTTCAACCCGGGGACTCAAAGCAATGGCGACGCCAGCTTGACCGGCATTTGAGGCTGCATCATCGGCAGCCAGGCGCAATGAGGATGTGCCGCCAGTGTCGCATGTGGGGGATCGCAGGTTAAACACGAAGCTTGAATCTTGCATGTGGGTTTCTGATAAACAGGAAATATAGATCGATAGGGTCTAGTGTGCGAGCAAGTGCTGCCTGTTAATCAAGCTGTAGCAAAGTGTGCACGTTGAGGCATACCAACCTTAGCGATGATCGAGGACCCTAAAGGGAAAAGGATGAACTGAAGTTGTCCGTTTGGTTGAATTGTCTAGTGGACTAGAGCGGTTCCTTGCGACCGTATGTGAAGTGAAACTAGAAGACAAGCGACTATTGAAGTGGGGGAGGGCCAAGAATTGTGGGATTGAAAATGGGGGGAGAAAAGTAAAGTTGAAGCGGGACGATAAGGATGAAAAAGCGCAAGAGGGAGAAAAAGAAGGTGGGAAGGTGTGAGCAGTAGCATCAAAACCCCTATCGACACTGCTCGATGCAGCAGATAGTGAGCCGTTAATTGTCCTCTGCGAAGGCCAGAGCGTCAAGAAATTGTTAGAAAAAAGGTTCATTGTATTGCGTGGGAAGAATATCACCAGGTTGTCCACCCTAGACAGGGGAACGATTAGGGTTCTCAAGCAAAAGCTTGGGTTCAAAAACCTTCCCGCAAGGCAGTGGGTTTTAGTACTGAACTACATACAGCACGTTTTATGGAGTAAGGTGCCATCCTCACACCAACCCACAACCTGGAGGGCCAGGAGACAGAGTCTGTCTCGATACTAATCATTAATCAATCAGTTGTAAGGGGAAGGTGCAAAAAAGCACCAATCAACATATGTCAATGAATTACTGAGGTACACAAACCATCGCATCAGGTCAAGGTCCAGTCTCGTCGCGATGGATAAAGAATAATAAGAAGGAGGGAAGGGTGACACCTGAAAACCTTAATGACTTAAGCAAACATTCAGGATCAAGGCGCCTAAACCTGGTGTTAACAACCTATCGTCATAAACAGCTGCCTATCGTGATAAGGCAGCACCAACGAGACAGCTTTCTTACAGCTTTCATTGACCCGCGCCATAATCAGGCATTACCCCACATATAACTCAGCATCAAACACACAAACAAGCAGTCCGACTAGGAGACGGTAGCAGACACGCCACGGCTCTCACTGTAGCCTTGTATACACGGCCTATCAGACGGAGGGAAAGTCCCTTCCTCCTCCAAAGATGCCGCAGATCCAAGGAGGCAGTTCTGGATTTTACAATGCGTGCACTGACTTCAGTTTCTATGCGTCCATCATTGCTGTTGCAGCTACCAAGGTAAGTAAATCGAGCATCACCTTCAGTTCTGCGTTATCAAGGGTCAAGTGGTCAACAAGTCGCTGGTGGTCCTGCAACAACACTGCACTTTGAAGGCGCAAAGCGCATACCAAATAATGAGACCACACTAGACAGGCAATTTAGGGTAGATTGTGACACCACAACATCAGTAAATAACAAGACGGCCTCGTCCGCATAACCAAGATCAACTAACCTTTCACTAGGCATGACCTCAACGCCTATATCATGAGATTCCGCAAGGGAACACTCCATGATGGAGAATGAAAAGACGGGGAAACCGGACAACCTTGACGAACGCCACTTGTTGTCGGAATGATAGCCGACAGGGCACCGTAGACCCGCATTGTTCGAGTATAGAGCACGTAAAATGTTCACACATTTCGTGGGAACACATTTTCGCGCAAGTATTTCGAACAGAATGCATCGATCAACGGAGTCGAACGCACGCTATAAATCGAGAAACATAGCTATTGTCGGTCTGCGGTATGTGTGGCGCTGCTCTAACACCCGCCGCAGAATGAATATATGGTTTATACAGCTACGTCCTCGGCGGAAACCTGCCTGCTCTTCCCTAATCCTGGATTACCGTTCCACAATGAGGTAGCGAAAGAGAATCGAAGCTAAAGCTGGCGTTAGATTAATACCACCGTGGTTAGCACAGTCGGTGGGACCGTCCTACTTGTATATTGTCACTATAATCATTTCAATCCAGGTATACGGGACACTCTCTTCCTTCCAAATATGTTCAAATAGGGAGGTCAGTGCAGTGCGAAGGACCTCACCTCCATCCTTAAATAGAGTAGGTTGGAAGGAATGCGGACCAGCAGACACGAAAACGATTGAGAGTTGTGATCGCGTTTCGTACCTCGGCCTCCGATGAGGCTCTAAACTAACCGTCCATTGCTCGTCCTGCATCACCTGAGCAGAAAGACGTCCGGGAGTAGAGAGCCAGCTGAACTGATCTTGAAAGTGTTCTGCCCAACGAGCCATACGGCGCTCATTTTTATGTATCAGTGCACCCGCGCTGCCTCTGGTTGTCTCACTGACGCCTGGTTTTCTGGGACCAGTGGTTCGGATCAGCTGGAAAAGTTTACACGAGTTCCCTACTACTACTGCCTCAACCATTTCTTGAGCCCGACTGATCTACCAGGTTTCCTTGTTAGCACGTAGGATCCGCTTTAGTTCGCGTCGAATAAGCCATTTGGTAACATTGCGCTCAGAGCCAGTCGGGAGGTTTCTACTGGATTCCAACAGGTTCACCGACCTCTCGGATATCCAGTGATGGATGCGGTGACGATGGATAGTGCCACAAGCAGATGCTCCTGCGTCGCGCATGGCGGCCAAGATCCTATTCCACTGAAGCTGAGTGTCATTAGGGCCAGACAGCGAAAGTTCAGTACGCAGTGCGTCTTGATAGGCTTGTCTGACCGATGGATGGGATAATTTCTCAGTTACCAATCGGGGGAGAGGCTTGGTACGTCTCCTGGTAATGTTCATGGAGAAACGACAGCACACCAAGGCATGAGCAGAGTCGACACAGGTATTCCAGTACGAGCGGTGGACCATGATGGAAGCACGCCAACTGTAACTTATGGCAATGTGATCAATTTGGGTCCATCTCTGGCTATCTATAGGAGGACGCCAAGTGGCAGTTCGGCGCGCACAGTGCCTAAAAGCAGTGCTACTAAGGAACTACTGGTGCTCCGTTCATAGTTGCAGCAGACGCTCGCCGTTGTTAGTTCGTCCGGACTAAGATCCATAATTACCACCCAGCTGAGCTTGTGAAGAGCTCATACGCCCTACTTGTGCGTTCATACCTATGTACGGAATTAATATATTCATCGTCAATACATATAGTAGTTCAGCTTAGTTGTAAAAAACAAGGGTACCGAAGTGCGGTGGATCCAGTTTCCTCTACTCGCATCCCACGAATAATAAACGACAAAGGCAAAAATTATGTTGAACGAAAACAGCATAAAAGAAGACGGAAGTGAAGCTTAGGTGCGCAAAACTAATTGAGATGGAGATTTAACTGCTCAATTCAAGAAGCTGAACGCAGGTATGTCACTGATTGTACTATCGCGCCATGTATGATAGTCACCAAGCACGGGTGTAGACCATGCTAGGGCCCCAAACACGAAAGGAACAGGCATCAAGATGATCAAGTCTCTCGGTCAATTTCTTTATGATTTAGTGACACATCATCGACCAAACCCCTCGCGTTTTCGCCTAACTTTGTGTAGCGACGGCAAATAATATACCCCGAGAAAAGCGGTCGGCAGGCATATGAGAGAAATGACCAAACGCAAGCGCATTGTCTTATTGTGCGTGACCTCAACATCTCGGGTGTCAACTGGGACCTACTGCACTGCCTCCTTCCTCCAGAGTCCTTTGACACTAGTCTCCTTGAAAGCGGTCTTAAAACGAATCTCTCCCAGCAAATAACATCGCCCACTAGGCTTCTCCACGGCCAGACTACACACATTCTTGATCTTGTGCTCACTCTGTCTCTGTCTGATGTCTCGGAGTCGGCTCTTCTACAGCGCATTGGTAAAACCGACCAGTGTACGATCTTTTTATGGAGTAAACGTCCAGATATTCAAACCCGGAGCGCACTTCGTCGCAATTGCTAGTGTACCGACGCATCAAAGTTAAGAGCGGCAGCGAGTATTCTCGACTGGAATGTTTCATAACACTTGGAGCTCCATGCTGCTTGGAACGATTTATTCTCCATGCTGAAGCTACTCATTGAGGAGGTCGTCCCATTCCATAGCAACAGGTCCCGCTCCAAGAGTCCCTCATGAATCGACCGGGAACTCAGGGCCAACATGAAACGGTGAAAAGTATGAGACAAATTCAAAGTTTACCGCTTGGACTTTGACTACTCTAAATATAAAGCCTTTAGGAACTTTCGCTCCCTACAGAAACAAGGAAATGGGCAACAATATGAGCATAGCTTGGATGAATAACCCCTTTCCAGACCAAAGAAACTATTCTCAAACCTTGAGATATCCTCCAAGGCCGGTATCGGAATCCCTGTGTTGTCTACCAACGAGCCAGGAATTATACTTCATGATGATGACACCAAGGCTGACCTCTTGGCCTTACAGTTCTCTTTAGAATACACGAGAGGAGACATACTGACAAACAATCATGTACTTGCATATCCAGTACCTCTGGAGCATGTCGAGATAGATGCAAGTGCTACCTTAAAGCAAATAGTAGGATTGAACTCAGCTTCCTCACCAGCCCAGACAGACTACACCCCTAGTTTCTCAAGATGGCAGCAGAATTTATTTCCGCGCCACCTTGTCAAATTTTTCAGCTCCATCTTAAAACTCATCGACTACATTTCGAGTAGAATACGATTGTAGTTATGCCAAAATGCAAGGGTGAAAACTGCCAGGACACTGCGAAATGTCGGCCGATTTGCTTGACGTTGGTCGTCTGCAACTTCATTAAAAAGCTCATTCAATGTGCCATAGATTGACACTGCGATCTGAACATCATTTACTCAGCATGGCTTCCTAAGGGGACGTTTCTACAACACTAACCAGCATGTCGTAAAAGAGAAGCAGGCAAAGTCGGTAGACGCTGGAAAACGCTAAGATATGGTGTATTCATCGATTTAAGCAAAACTTTAACAGGGTCCCTCAACAGCAACTGCTCTCTAAGCTCTGTGGAATTGGCATGACAAGGAAAGTCCTACTATGGATCACTGACTTCTTGCAAGGCCGGAACATGCAAGTCAAGGTAAACGATACCCTCTCCTTTCCAGTGCCAATGTCCAGCGGTGCTCAACAAGGCTCCGTCCTCAGACGGGAAGTGTTCACGATCTATGTCAATGACTTACCAAGTACGCTTCAAACGGAATGTCTGATCTACGCAGACGACCTCAATCTATAGTCAGGAGTGTCCAGCCTCGAAGACGCCGACCGGTTACAGGAAACTTGGTCTATCAAGTGGGATTTGCCGGTGAACAATGATAAGTGCTCGGTTCTTCACATCGGTGCAGCGGAACGACTGGGCACTTATAATATTGGCGCGTACTTACTCAAAACTGCCAATCAGGAAAAGGACCTGGGGACAAAAGAATCCTCTTTTCTCAAAAATACCAGTGACATTAAAAACTGCTGCGGCAAACAGGATGTTGGGTGTCATAAGGAGATCATTCTCTAGAATGACGCCGCAGATATTTAAACTTCTCTTCACCTCCCATATCCGTCCAATCCTTAAATGCGAACTTCCAGCCCCAGCCCCACTATCGAAGCATGACAGTGACCAGATCGAAAGAGTTCAGCGACGAGCCACGAAATTTGTCCTTGGGCTACGAGAACTCCCCTATCCAACCCGACTTCAGAGGAGGATCCTTTAACCTTAAGACTATCGTCGACCTCGCGGAGACCTCATTCATACTACAAGTATTCCACGAGGAAAATTGGGAAATGAGCTGAGCAGTTGGACTCGAGGTCACAGCTGGAAGCTGTTTAAACTGAGGAGGTTCAAAGTCCGTGCAGACGTTGCTTTCTCTACTCGAGTAATTAATGAATGGAAACGACTGTCGGACCCGACTGCTAATGCGCAGTCAGAAGCAAGCTTTAAAGGTTTGTTAGACATCTACCTACTGAGTACTCCAGGACCCTACAGGATTGACATCCTGAGCGATAACAACCACACCTGCAATCCTTGGAAGACCGGGAAGTGAAGGAGCTGACACGGGATCTCCCTTCTGCTCTCTACCACTCCATGAACACCATGAAGCGACAGAGCTCGAGCCAATACTCGACAATTCCCAGTGGTAAAGATCGACAAAAATTATCAGTGTATAATGGATCGAGTCAGTCACTAGATCAAAACAGTTACACAAACATTACCAAACAAAATCAGATGAACACTTTTACTAAAAGCCCCTGGATAGGCAAAACTTAAAGAGAGTACAATGTCGCTTCAACTGAAATAACAGGTGTCTCTAGTTCCCACAGGCCAATAAAGGTCAGTCATTGTGATTTGTCTAGTGAAAATTGAAAAGACGTTGGATGAGTAACATGTGGAACATTTCATGTCCTTCCATACATTACGTAAGACGAGAAATCCTACATTTTACTGAATGCCGAAACACCTGAAAGGTAAAGTGTAAAGTTGAAATAGTCAAGCATTTAGGCACATAAACCTCATTTTATATCAAAAAGAAATAAAACTCAAGCCATGCTAGGTTTAATTACACGGTATTATACACAGGGTCAAGCTGGACATGTATGCTAGACCCAATCCATCTAACAAGGTTGAAACACTAACCGAAAGTAATCAAAATATACCTCACGGCGAGAAGCATCACGGCTTTTCAGCCATCGGAGCTCATCGTGTAAATCCTCCAGACGATCCTTAAGATGTTCATTTTCGAACCTGAATAAACGTCCACTTAAATAGTTAAAATCTCAAACCTCAATAATGTGACGCTCTCCCTCTCACGGCATAGTTCGATTGCTAAAACTTGTAATTTCTCCAATAAATTCAAACGATCATCTGCTTCAAAGAGTTTTGCAACATCCAAGTCCTCAGAAACGCATGAAAAGTCTTCTGTTGAAGCTTCGCAGAGCTTTATATTCCGATGTAACAAGAAGCAAAACTAACCTCTGGATCGTGTTTGCACTTCTTTTTGAAGGAGTCATAGATGCTTTCGGCAAGTGTACGTATTTCTCTTCGAGTCTACATCTCTTCATGAGTTAAATGAATAAAGAAGAACCTTCTCTGAATCGCTTGACCACCTTGTCATGCGAAGCGTTCAATTACACAACGTCGAAAAAATATTCGTCAGGCGGGAACACTGCAGTACAAATATGATGTAACAGTCGAGTATATTCTTTGCAAACGGTTCTAATAAGTTTGCTGAAATACAGCACTGCAATAATGAATATTTGTTCTTCTGAAGATGAAGGAGCATAGATTTTACGCGTACAACCTCGTAAACTAACTTAAATGCAATAGGGTTCAAGTTCAAGTTGGGATAAAGTCAGTCACATCACCATTGGTGAAGCCACCTACTCCTAGTGTCAAAGCAAAGACCCGTGGGATTAATACACCCCGTCGTGGCGATTCTTTCACGGAGAGTAGCGTTATATTCCGTAACGCCGCTGGATCTACCGCTGTCCTTCCTGCCGATCGCATGGTTTAAAATGTGCGTAACAAAGCTTCTTCCGCATAGTTTTCCAGGCGTTACTGTCAGGGAGCTGATTAGACTGGGGAACGTCCCTGTTAATGTACCAAACACTCGGCCGCGGCTACTTCGGAGGAACGCAACGCTCTCATGCGGTTTGCTTTTAAGCTGAAAGGTACAAATATTAGTGTTCAGCCGGAGCTCCCGCTGGCCGATAGGCTGAAGCTAAGGGAGGCCATCAAGGACCTCAAATGTTGACGAGCGGCCAGTGAACAAGGTCCCCAGTTAGTGGGTTTTTGGGTGGTCGGCCGGCGGTCCTTTTCCGCCCTACCACTGCGCATTCTGGTAGCGCAGACCCAGGTATGGATCTATCAGATAGTGGTAGGTAATGTGTGCAGCCTAAGGAATAAGGTGTACGAGTTAGGTCTGCTTATACATGGGTCGCATCCCGATATATTCGCATTCACTGAAACGTGACTATCTCAGGACATCACGGATGGTGAAGGACATCTACCTGGCTACGCACTATTTAGATGCGATCGCTCCGCTAGCCAGCAGGGAGGGGGTGTCGCTGTTGATTTGAGCTGTAAACTCGACGTTTTGAAGATTTGCATATTTCAGTCGGCAGACAAAACTGTTGAAGTTCTGTCGGCTGCGATTAGCACATCCACGGCTCAGGTTACAGTTTTAATTGCGTATACAGGCCCTGGAAGAGTATCCAAAGAGGTACTTGACCTCATTCACTCCCAGTCCGAAAACAAGTGTTCGGTGATGGGCGACTTCAACCTCCCAGAGGTTTGCTAAGCAGCTCTTTATTGCGACTCAGCATCAGGCACATTCGCCGCTCAGCTGCTTGAGCACCGCTCCCTTAATCCCAGTCATAAGGAGAAAGGACGCACGAAAACTGCTGCCCTGGATAGATTCCAATAGCAGACATCTGCTCACAAAGAGGTCTGAATGTTGGTGGCCTTATCGATATGCGCCGTCCACTGATACCTATGACAGGTACCGTAAGGTTAGAAATAGCAGAAAGCATCATCATCATCAACAACAGCAGTACATCAGCCGTTTGAACTGATGCTTCGTTGCCATACAACCATGAGGACCTATGAAACAAAGAATAAGAAGAGGGAGAGAAGAGGTACTTACCTGAAAACCTAAATGCCCTAAGCAAACATTCAGGGTCAAGGCGCCTACACCTTGTGTTAACAACATACCGTCACAAACTGCTGGCTATCGTGCAAAGATAAGGCGGCATCGGCGAGACAGCTTCCTTGCGGCTTCCACTGCCCCGCGTCATAATCAGCCATTATCCCACAAATAACTCAGCACCAAACACACTTTGAACAGACAATCTGATTAGGAGACGGCAGCAGACGCGCCACTGGTGTCGGTTGTGAGCCATGTCCTGTAAAGTCTCGAGCCAAGCACAAGGCAAGTCACATGGACTCCTGTCCGGAAGGCGAGACGGACCAACGGCGCCCAGTTTACACGTCACTAACTTCATTTCCCGCTACGGCGTCAACTTCTGTCCACCTCGAGCTTTGCGCCACCCTACACCTGGCAGACTAAACAAGGCCCTCCTAGGTAAGCGGTGACCAGGCATACGTAGCATGTGCCCGAGCCAACGCAACTTATTCAGTATTATCTGTTGTTCCAGAGAGCTAGCATGATTATCACTTCTTAGTACTCGCCTACGCACATCATCGTTGCGAACACGCTGGTGCCATCCGACTCCAGCAATGCTGCGCAGACAACGATGGTCAAAGAGTTCAAGGCGCTTTAGATCTTCAGACCGAAGGGGCCAAGTCTCACTACGATACAGCAGAACGGCCCTCACTCTGGCTTTGTATACACGGCCTTTCAGACGAAGGGAAACTCCCTTCTGTCGCCAAAGGTGCCGCAGGTTCAAGAAGGCAGCTCTGGCCTTTACAATGCGTGAGCTGACGTCAATTTCTATGCGCCCATCGTTGTTGATGCAGCTGCTAATATAAGTGAATTGATCAACCACCTCGAGTTTCTCGTTAGCAAGCGTCAAGGGATCATCAAGTGGCTGGTGGTCCTGAAGCAACACTTTGCACTTTGAAGGTGCGAAGTGCATACCAAATAATGGGACCACTCTGGACAGGCTATTCAGGGTTGATTGTGCCGCCCCAACATCGTCGAAAAGCAAGACGATATTGTCCGCATAATCTAGATCAACTAACCTTTCACCAGGCAGCACTTCAACGCCTACATCGTGAGATTCCGCAAGGGAACACTCCATGATAGAATCCACAACAAAAGTGAACAAAAATGGGGAAATCGGACAACCTTGACGAACGCCACTTGTGGTCGGAAAGCTATCCGACAGGATACCGTAGACCCTGACGCGGCCTGTAGTGTTCGAGTATAGAGCACGAAGGATGTCGACATATTTCGTGGGAACACCTTTCCGCGCAAGTATTTCGAACAGAATCGATTGATCGACTGAATCGAACGCACTCTTGAAATCGAGGAACATAGCTATTGTCGGTCTGCGATACGCGTGGCGCTGCTCTAGCACATGCCGCAAAGTAAATATATGGTCTATACAGCCACGTCCTAGACGGAAACCGGCCTGCTCTTCCTTACTCTGAGATTACCGTTCCCCAGTAAGGCGACGAACGAGAATCGACGCCAGTAATTTTGTCATAACTGGCGTTAGGCTAATACCCCTGTGGTTAGAACAATCTGTGCGACTGCCCTTCTTGCATATTACCACTAATTTTGATTCGCTCCAATTAGCCGGGACATTCTCTTTCTTCCAGATACATTCGAATAAGGAGGTCAGTGCTTTGCAGAGAACCTCACCTCCATCCTCAAATAGTGCAGGTGGGAGGGAATCCGGGCCAGCGGCACGAAAACGATTGAGGGCTGTGATCGCATTTCTGACCTCGGCCACCGACGGAGGCTCTAAACTAACCATCCATGGCTCGTCCTGCATCACCTGAGTAGGAAGAGGTCCGGGAGCAAGGGGCCCAGCTGAACTGATCTTGAAAGTGTTCTGCCCAACGAGCCATACGGCGCTCCTTATTGTGAATCAGAGCACCTACGCTGTCTCTGATTGTCTCACTGACGCCTGGTTTTCTGGGACCAGTGGTGCGGATTAGCTGGAAGAGCTTGCGGTAATTGCCTACTGCTCCTGCCTCCTCCATTTCTTGAGCCCTACTGGTCCACCAGGCTTCCTTGTCAGCACACAGGCTCTGCTTTAGTTCACGTCTAATAGCTCGTCTGGTCACATTGTGTTCAGAGCCAGCCGGGAGGTTTCTACTGGATTCCAACAGGTTCACCGACCTCTCGGATATCCAGTGACTGGTGCGGTGACGACTGATGGTGCCACAAGCAGATGCTCCTGCGTCGTGCATGGCGGCCGAGATCCTATTCCACTGAGGCTCAGTGTCATTAGGACAAGACAACGGAAGTTCGATACGCGGCGCCTCTTAATAGGCTTGCCTGACCGAGGACTGAGACAATTTCTCAGTTGCCAATCGTATGGGACGCTTGGTGCGCCTCCCGGTAAAGTTCATGGAGAAACCACAGCGCACCAAGGCGCGAGTAGAGTCGACACAGGCACTCCAGTATGAGCGGCAATCCAGGATGGAACCACACCACCTGTACTTTATGGCAATGTGGTCAATTTGGGTCCTCTGCTGGCCAGCTACAGGAGGACGCCAAGTGGCACTTCGGTGCCCACTGTGTCTAAAAGCAGTGCTACTAAGAAACAACTGGTGCTCCGCACACAGTTGCAGCGGACGCTCACAGTTGTCAGTCCGTTCGGAGTTAAGCCCATAATTACCATCTAGTTGAGCTTCTGAAGTGCTGAGATGACCTACTTGTGCGTTTATATCCCCTGTAAGTACTATGATATTTGAACTAGTAGCACTGCGTAGTAGCGTGTTCAGTTCGTGATAGAATATGACCTTGGCAGATTTAGAACTGCACTCGGTGGAAGCATAAGCGGAAATCACAAACAAACAACGTTTTGTATTACTTCGTGAATCCACCTTAGCTGATGTCGTCAAACGGGCTGCACATAAACGGCTGTTCACCGAAAACCAATCAGCCAACAATGGCTCAGCCCTGGAGCTTAGAATGAGACCTACACTAGGTTGACCCGTGAGTGCTGCATCAGCGTCTCCGGATGCACGCAACCAATAACGAGTGGATAAGCCGGGTGTAGTTAATTCAACAACCCCATTAGGGTCATTGATCCTAGTTTCGGACATACAACTCACCTTAATACCCAGTGTGTCCAAGGTGCGTGCGAGTGCAGCCTGTTGACCTAATTGCCTTAGAGTGCGAACATTGAACGCCCCCATGGAAACGGGACAGCGTGGCCTTATAAGGGGCTGTTGCCGACAGGTGTCCGGTGCGTATCGCGAGATCGTGGCTGCAGATGATTCTACTCCAGTGGCACTTCGGTTGCTGTCGATTAGGCTGGGAATTTTAGAAGGAACGTTAGTAATGGTGATCGGGATGGGAGTAAGAGGAAAAGGTGGAAAAGAAGGTAGGGAGGCGCCAGCAGTAGCATGTTTTCGCTTATCAGCCCTGCTGTATGCAGCAGATAAGGCGACCCTTGATAATCTGTGCGACAGCCGATGCAGAATGACGTTTATGTTTGAAGAAAATGTCATGGTTGTATGTGGGCTGAGATACTGCCAGGGCGGCCAGACCTAGGCAGGATGCGTGATGACGGTACTCATGCGCATACGGACTATGAGAAGGCCTGCGTACTTAGTGGGCAATATG